TTTTTCAAGTAGGGCCCATGCCCCATGAGGAGCCCAACTTGGGGCTTGAACTCACGACCTGAGATCAAGACCTGAGCTGAGATCAGGACTCTGATGCTTAACGGGCTGAGCCACCCAGCAGCCCCTGTATGTTTGTTTGAGACATCATGTGGCTCTGGGGCTCTAAGGTAGGAGTGACTAACTACTTGGAAGACTTGGACACCCTTTTGAAATAAGAGAATGCAACCCTAGAAAATTGTTTTCAAATGTTTCCACTTTTATGACTACCAGGCTTTAAACCTGAGTAGAGGGATCCCTGGGTGGCGCAGTGGTTTGGCGCCTGTCTTTGGCCCGGGGCACGATCCTGGGGACCCGGGATCGAGTCCCTCATCGGGCTCCCGGTGCATGGAGCCTGCTTCTCCCTCTGCCTGTGTCTCTGCCTCTCTCTCTCTCTGTGACTATCATAAGTAAATTAAAAAAAAAAAACCCTGAGTAGAGTAAAGGCTGATTAATTTCAGCTTTGCAGTTCTGGCATTTTGGAGCCAATATATTTTTTGCTTCAGACCTCAAATACTTTATAAGCTCTTAAAAAGCTCTCAGCTTCTAGAAGGGAAACTGAGTGGAGGAAAAATACAGAGGAAGACAAGCCATGAAAGAGGGTTGGGGGATGGGGTGACTGGGTGACGAGCACTAAGGAGGGCACTTGAGGGGATGAGCACTGGGTGTTATACTGCATGTTGGCAAATTGAATTAAAAAAAAAAAGTCCCAAAAAACAAAAAACAGGGGATTCCTGAGTGGCTCAGCGGTTTAGCACCCCACTTCGGCTCAGGGCATGATCCTGGAGTCCCATGATCAAGTCCCATGTCGGGCTCCCTGCACGGGGCCTGCTTCTCCCTCTGCCTCTCTCTGTGTCTCTCATGAATAAATAAATAAAATCTTTTAAAAAATGATTTAAAAAGTAATTCTATGTCATTTACAAGAAAAAAAAAAACATACACACACATTAGGGCAGCCCGGGTAGCTCAGGTGGCTCAGCAGTTTGGTGCCGCCTTCGGCCCAGGGCAGAGTTCCAAAATCGAGTCCCAGATCGAACTTCCTGTGAGGAGCCTGCTTCTCCCTCTGCCTGTGTCTCTGCCTCTCCCTCTCTGTGTCTCTCATGAATAAATAAATAAATAAAATCTTAAAAAATTTTTTCAAAAAAAACCCACACACATTACAAAAATTAAAAGACTTGCACCTGAGCCCTAATGGGCTAATGAATGGCAGAGCCTGGAGGTAACCCAGACCTTCTATGAGAGAAGGGGTAGCTCCCCAAAGGTGAGTTATGCCTGTAATCAGAAGACGGACAGACACCAGGTAGGAAGTCCATGTGTTTGGGGACGTGGCTATCCGCACAGATGGAACAGCACAGCAAAGGCAGGGAGGTAAAAACAGATGTGCAAGGTAAGTGGGGGTTGGCAGAGTGCCTGAGGTTGAGGGGGGCATTCCCCCCACCCCAGTCCTTTCTACCCTTCATGGAGTGGGAGGAAAAGATTGGTTTTTCTGAAGTCCAGGTATCCCAGGACCATGGTATTCTTTCCTTGGCTCAGCAGATAGAAGGCTCGCCAGCCCTTGCTCCCTGTGTGACCTTGGCCAAGGGCCAGCCCCTTTGGGTAGTTTCTGCATCACTAGATGAGGGAGCAGGTCCGTTGCAGAATTTCTGAGGTCCTTTGCTGCTCTGACGTGTAGGACACTTGGAGCTGGCCCTGATCACTCCCCATTGTCCCCAGCTGGGCCAGCCAGCTTGGCTGAGGGATGTGGATGGTGTTTCAGGGGGCTCAGCAGCCTTCCCAGCCACTGCCAGCTGGAGGAGGCACAGCCTTCCCGTGGGCAGGACAGGGCAGGAGCGGGCAGGCTGGGAAGGGCCTGGATCCCCTCTCCAGAGGTGCTGAGCTCATTTCTTACCACAGCAGACAATGTCCAGCCTGTAGGATGGAGGAGTTCCAGGGAGCCTGCTGCCTCTGCTGCAGGGCAATGATGGAGGAGGATAGTCTCAGGGTGGGGCTGGGGAGGCCTGGTCTTCGGGGTGCACATGAGAGAACCGATGCTGAGAGCACCCCCCACCCCAATCCCTTCTGGAATCCTCCAACCGTAAGTGAATGGTAATATTCCAGGCCTGGGAACAGGTTCAGAGAGGTCAAGGACCTTGGCCACAGTTACAGCCAGGCAGACCCCAAATTCGGACTTGCCTCCCCTCCAGATTCTAACATCAGGTTCCTTTCAGTGCCCAGAGCAGCTTCTCTGCCGTGCATTCCATGAGGCCAGGAGAAGTGTAGATGGAATGAGATAATGTGTGAAAGCAAAGGCTACAGGCACAGGGCCTGACAGATAAGTGGCCTAGGAGGCCCTGAGGACTGAAAGGGGGTGGGGTACACATAGGGCACCTTGTCCCTGCCGCCACCCCGGACATCCACAGTCCCTGTTCCAGTGGACGCTGGAAGCTGGAGAGACCTCCTGCCCCAGCGCAGGCAGGAGGGGCCTGGTGGGGATGAGGTAGGTAGGGGTGAGAGGAAGAACCCCCGCCCCCGGGGCAGCGTGGACCCCAGGAAGGTAAGCTCAACCTAGGAAATGACACAAGAGGGAAGCCCAAGCCTTCTGAGGTTGGGGAAAAAATAGTCATCTATTTAGTACAACAGACGTGAATTCCACCCTGTACTAGCCTAGGGGAGCAAGCCTTCAGCTCCCCGATGGGGAGCTGAACAGATGGGGAGACCGACTTGGAGACGGCGTGGCAGGGCTGATGGAATCCAACTCCCTGGACTCCCAAAGGGGCCTCTCTGGAGGCCTGTTCACCACTCAGGCCACCTCCCTACCAGCCCTCAGGGGGCCAGACCCTGGAGAATGCAGCCCCTGGTCAACAGCATACAAGTCCTTATGCTGGGCCTGTCTTCCAGGCCGGGGGGGAAGCAGGAAGGAGCAGCTCTCCAGGCCCCAAGAGCCCGACTGCTGGGCTGGGACGGCCAGCTGGACCCACATGATGCCAGCAGGCAAAGGACCGTGCCTAAAGCACCCATGCTCCTCAGGCAGGACTCTTCAAATGCCCCCACTCCTGGACCAGGCAGAGGGTGTCGGTGGTGCTTGGAGGGGAGGCACAAAGGAAAGGCAGTGGGACGGCTCCACCCACCCCTCCTAGGGGAGGCCCTAGAGGAAAAAATGAAGCAGCTGCGGTTGGTTTCTGAGGCTTGGTCTTGGAGGAAGGGATGAGGGGCTCAGAGATGGGGCAGCCCAGCCTCCTGGAGGCAGGCCCAGGCACTCCTGGCCACTCCTCCTGTGCCAGGGTGGGCTCCAGTCATCTGGAGGAAGGTGGGGTGGGGGGCCCGTGGAGGACCTGGCCTCCAGATGTGAGTCACTCCTGGTCCAGTCTTCCTCCCCCTTCAGTGCCGATAATTTCAGAAGGGAGACGATAGCGTGGAGGAGGTGCCGGTAACTCTCCTAGTACGTGCCCCACCTTGGCCGGTGCTCCCCACACCCCGTCTCCTCCTACTTCCTTTGTATGAAGTGAGCACCCCTCTAACCCACCCTCAACTCTTGCTACAGTGATCTTCCCTGCAGTCCGTGTCTGTCCTCAATACTCACCTTCCCTATAACCTTCTATGGCTCCCGCCCCTTAATGAGGCCCTTCCTGATCCAGATACTGTTGGCTTTCCAGTCTCATGCCCCATCTTTCTCCAACATACCTGAAACTCCAGCCATGCCAAGATGTTCACTGTTGCCCAGACCTGTGCTTTCTCACATCTGAGCCTTTGCTCATGCTGGAGTGCCAGGCCCTCCTTCTTCACGCATTCTGCAAGACCCACCTACTGGGACACCTGGATGGCTCAGTCGGTTGAACATCTGACTTCGGCTCCGGTCATAATCCCAGGGTCCTGGGATCAAGCCCCATGTCTGGCTCACTGCTCAGCAGGGAATCTGCTTCACCCTCTCCTTCTGCCCCTCCCCAGACTCATCCTCTCTCTCAAATAAATAAGATCTTAAGAAAAAAAGTCCTCATTCTGGACAGTCTCCATAGCACCACAGTGCTTGTTCATGACTTCCCTTAGAACCTGGATCGTGCTAATTAGTCAGGTCCTGGCCCAGCAGTGGGCTACTGAGAGCAGGGACTCGATGGGGTCCTCTCTGAATCCTCACAGGCTAGCTCAGGACAGGCACATAGTAGATGCTCAGTAAAATATCTGCTAACCAGCAGGAAAAGGAAAGGCTGTCCATAGTCTTGGAGAGAGACATGTGCAGAGAGTGGAAGGGAGGGGGACACTGAGTGGGGCCCCCAACCCCCACTGGGCCCCGCTCAGGCCTGACTTGCTCAGGCCAGAGGCTTTCAGGCAGGGGCTCTGGGAAGATCCCCAGCAGGCCCCTCAGCAGGCCTGAGGCATGGGGCCTGAGCCTGAGGCCTGAGCCCCATTGGCAGCCTCAGGCCTGGCACCTGGCCCAGTCTTTCTTTAGGGCTAGTGAGGAGTGAGCAGCAGCGACAATCCCTGCTTCCGGGGGAGGCCCGGGTGGGGCCAGGGCCTTGTGGTTAATGGTCCTGGGCACTCCGCAGAGGCCTGCAGCTCAAGCCACGCCCTGGCCCCTGCAGGGAGCAGCCTGCCAAACCCCAGTTCTAATCCCCTGAAGGTCCCTGTGTCCCCTCAGCCCTCAGTCATCTTCTCTGGGTACCCCTGAGCTCGGCCTGCTGGCCCCAGGCCCCCTTCCCGCCAATTCTTGTGCCTAACTCATCCTCAAACTATTTTCCACTGGCTCCCCCCAGGCCCTGCCACAGCAGAATTTTTTGGTGGGGGGTGGGGAGGGATGAAGGAGAATGGGAGGCGGAGCCTGGCCCCGGGCGGGGGGCAGGGTTAAGAAGGGGCTTTGCTCCTCTGATTGGTCACCTCTGCTCCAGAGCCGCTTCACCAACCCGTTGACCCCGCCCCTAGAGGGCCCCCAGCCCTGTGCTGACTTACAATTGGTTGGGCTTCCGGGGAGGGCGGGACCCAGCGGAGTCAGGTCCCGTTAAAAGGGTGGGAGCGGCCCGGAGGCCCACCTCTCGCGAAGAGTCTTGAGACAGCTGGTGCTCCACCCCGCGGGAACATCCTCCGGTCCTCAATCATGGCTTGTGTGAGTGTGGGGACCCCGCCCCGAAGCCCAGGGATGGCGTGGGGACAGACAGCCAGGGGCAGAGTGGGGGCAGATGAGGGTCTGGGTTCCAGTTCCCGGGGCGTGGCTTCGAACAAGTTCCTTCTTTCTGGGCCTCAGTGGCCGCGTCTGTAAAATGGGGGTGGGCGCCGTGGCCCCCCAAGGCCGTCTCTGGCTCAAGGATTATCTGAATTCCTCCAGGATCTAACAGCAGTTTTTTCTGTCAAAGTTTGACGTTTTGCAGCCCTCTGATGAGCGGGAGTGACAAGGGTGTGGCCGACTGGTGGGGTGGGGAAGCACTCTGATGACACTCAGGCCACTTTCCTCCCCCCCCACACCCGCTTCACCCCAGAGAGCCTCCCGTCCCCTCCCCCCTGCAGCTGTCCCCAGTCACTGGGCCAGGGCAGAGTCATCTCTGCTCTAGAGAGCTCTGAAAAGTCGCCAGGATCTGAGACAGGCCGCCTGGGAGGGCGCTTGCCTGGGTTAGTGGGCGGAGGGTGGTTCCGTCCAGCGAGCTAGGTGGGGGCTGGGTACTCCCCTCCCCCCACGCGCACATTCCCCCTGCGGGGAGATGCTGTGAGTGCTAAGGAGGAGAGGAGGCAAGAATCTTCCGCAGGCCCTGAGGGAAACGGTTCAAGTTTCTGGCAGAAGGAACCACTCACACCAGTTTTGCTCTGCGCTCAATCATGCTCTTGCCCAGCCAGCCAGGCTGCTGACTCGGGCCCTTGGCCGCCCACTCACTGTCCCTTCCGTGCCCCTTGGGGTCTCCTCCCCAGCCCCTGCGCCCCTCTGCACAGCCCCCCGCCCCTTCCTCTCCAGCAGAAGGGCAGACCCTCCCATGCACCTTCCTTTGCCACCTAAGTCGCAGTGTCACTCTGCTTCTTTCCATCTATCAAATGAAGGGATAGAGCATAACCTCCCACCTCCCACCTCCCAGGCCCCTCTGAATCCAAAATCCCCGAGCTGAATCGCAGAAACGTGCAGGTCTTGGTTTCTACAATCTCAGCGCTGTTACAGATGGGAAGTGGACCCGGTTGGGAGCAGCGACCTGCCCAGGACCACCCAGAGGGAGTCTAGAACTTGGGCCGGGTTCCCCTGGCTTCTAGCGGGCGGGGTCAGAGGGTCCGGGGCGGGGACGACCCCCCGGCCCCACCCCCCCCCCACCCCCGCCACCGCGTCCCCTAACCCGGCTGGCTGCGGTCCCGTCTCTGCAGGGTCTGATCGCCAGCAATCTGAGTCTCAAACCTGGGCAGTGCCTCAGAGTGCAATGCGAGGTGGTCCCCGAAGCCAAGAGGTAAGGGGGTGAAGGTGGGGAGGCGGCGGGCGGCAGGGGCGCGGGGTTCCGAGCCCCGGGGTCCGATCCGCGTCGGGCAGGGGCGTGGCTGGCCAGGCCCCCGCCTCCCCTCTGGCGGCGAGGGGGTTAACGGCCATGGCGTCTTGGGGTGAGTCACTTCCTCTGCCGGGTCTGGACGCCCCCACTAGAGTCGCCCCCCATCCCTCCCTGCTGGAGCCTCCTAAACTAAACCAGCTGCGGCCTCCTCATCTACCTTGGCTGGCCCTGCCCCCACTGTAGGCGGGAGCCCAGGCCGCGGGGGGCCCGGGAGAGGGAATGGGGGGCACCCCGCTGCCGGCCCGCGGAGGTCCCTGGACCCTGGGTCCTGCGCTCTTCACTCACTCAGCCTTTCATCCCTTCTGGGCCTTCTTCACTCATCATTCACTCAGCAGGGTGCCTAGGTCCTCAGCAGCCATGGTGACCTTGGACCAGTCAAGCCACGGCCCTGAGCTTTGTTCAGTCTGTTATCACTTCACCGAGGGGGGAGGTGGTTGTGTGGAGGAAGTGAGATGCTGGATCTCTCAGTGACCATGATGATGACCAGCTGACATTAGAAAGAGCCGCACACTTCATGTGCACTATCCTTATCATGTTTACCAAACCTTCCGAGGTACGTACTGCTGCTCTGCTCTCCACTCAGCAAATGTATGATTGTCTTTTATTTTTTTTTAAGATTTTATTTATTTATTCATGAGAAACACACAGAGAGAGAAGCAGGCTCCCTGCAGGGAGCCCAATGCAGGACTCCATCCCAGGACCCCAGAATCACGGGCCCTGAGCCCAAGGCAGACGCTCAACTGCTGAGCCACCCAGGTGTCCTGGATGCTCTTTTTGATGATGACGATGATCATGGTGTTTACTGAGCACGTACTGTGTATCGTCATGCTGGGCACTAGGAGTACAGAGATATATATACGAGGACCCTAGCCCTCCCAAAGGTCACCTTGTAGGGGAGTCTCCGTCCTTGCCCAAAGTGACACCAACTAATGTCTTCAAGAGTCTTGGCTGTCAGCACAGCAAGACCCTTAGAGATCACTCTCATGCAGCCCCCACTGTGCTGATGAGGAGACTGAGGCCCAGAGAAGGGCGGGGACTTGCTTGAGGTCACACAGCAAGGAGGCAGCTAGGCCAGAACTAGAGCTCCGGTCTGGTCTCTTACCTCCGCACTGAGTACCCCAACTGGCGAGGTCATGGTGCACTCTGGGTGGCCCCGGCTGGGTGGTCTGGGGGGGGGGCTGCAGCTGGCTGAGGAGGCCTCAGTACCCCCCTGCTCCTCCCAGCTTCGTGCTGAACCTGGGCAAAGACGGGGACAACCTGTGCCTGCACTTCAACCCTCGCTTTGAAGCCCACGGCGATGTCAACACCATTGTGTGTAACAGCAAGGATGGCGGGGCCTGGGGCGAGGAGCATCGAGAGTCCGCCTTCCCCTTCCAGCCCGGGACTGTCACAGAGGTGGGCTGGGACCCAGGGTGCTGGGGTGCTGAGCTGGGGCAGAGCTGGGTTATTAGTGGCTAGAGTCCTAGGTGCCCCTCCCCACCCTCCCTCCGTTCCCCTCCCTGTCCTCTCCCTCCCCTCCCCTGCTGTCCCCAGGCCAGGGAGGCCAGTGAGCACCAGCCCTCTCCCCCCAGGGCCCGCTCTGTGAGTGCAGAGCGTAGGCTCCTGCTTCAGGGTCTGAGCTACTTGCTGTCCTTGCCCCCTAGGTGTGCATCTCCTTCGACCAGGCCGACTTGACCATCAAGCTGCCAGATGGATACACCTTCAAGTTCCCCAACCGCCTCAACCTGGAGGCCATCAGCTACCTGGCAGCTGATGGTGACATGAAGATCAAGTGCCTGGCCTTTGACTAAAGGCGCCGGCCCGTGGCCCCTAATAAAGGCAGCTGCCTCTGCTCCCCCTCTCCCTGCCTCCTGTGTGTGTTTGGGTGGGGGCAGTGGAAGAGGAGGTTGCCACCAACTCCCCTAGGCTCCATCTTCCTTCACTTCCATTTGCTTCCTCAGTGCATGCCTCCTAAGGGCCAGGGACATCTTCCCCTGGCTCCCCAGGGCCCAACAGGGTGCTCAGTACATGGGAGGGGACTGGTGATTGATAAACCCAGTCAAAGCCCTCAATCAGCTCCCAACCTGGGGAGCCCCAGCATACAGCAGGTGCTCAAAACATGACAAGTCAATGAAACCAGGGGGAAAGAGGCCAGGAGGGACCAGTTCAGGCCCCATGTCCAGCAGCACAGAGGGAGGTGCAGCGAAGAATCTCTGCGGCTCCGCTCCTTTGCTCTCATGAGCCAGAAAGAAATCTGGTTCAGTGTGGGGTCACGAGCTGTGTGACCTGTTAACTGACCTCTTGAGCCTTGCTTTATGCACCTAGATACAAGGGGAGGTGCTGATAGCGCGTTGTATATCAGGGTTGTCATGAAGATCACGTGAGATGTGAGAAGCAGGACAAGTTCAATGCCTGGCAGGTGGCTTCTGTCCCAGCTGAACTACCACGGGAGATGTCCTCACCCCAGTCCGCACAGGGAGGAAAACAGTCCTGCGCGATGACTCGACTCCCTGGTCTGTATCAGGCCCTGCTGAGTCCTGTGGGGCAGCCCAGCTTGGGGCCTCCAAGCCACGTACCCCAGTGCTGGAGCCTAAGGGCCACCAGGACACTGGGCTGGAAACTGCTGGTTCTGTGGCCCTGGACAGGACCCTCATCCCAGGGGAGATGGGCTCAAGCAATGGTCTTGGCACAACTGCTGGCTCGTTTCTTTTTCCTTTTTCCCCTTGTTTATTTATTTATTTACAATAACTACATCCAACTTGGGGCTCAAACTCATGACCCCAAGATCCTGCTGGCCCGGTTCTGTATAGGAGGGTCTGGGGTGTTGAGGGGGCCACGCCAGCCCCACCACAGGGAACCGACTGGAGGTAGGCAGCCTCCAGGCTCCCAGAGGCCGGGTGCACACAGCTTCTTTCCTGCAGAGCAGAGGAGTTCAGGAAACTCTGTGGGACTGAGATGAGGTCTCCATGCGCCTCTCCTCTCGGCTTCCAAAGAGCACACGTATCCCGAGACCCAGCAGGCTCTACCTCAGAGGGCCGTGTTTAACCCAGCCCACCACACTCACTAGTCCTAAGTGATGGGGCCTGAGCTGATGGCTGGGCGACCCTGCAGACTGACCATTCCTCAGCACCTTTTCTTTTTTTTTTTTTAATTTTTTTTAATTTATTTACGATAGTCACACAGAGAGAGAGCTAGAGAGAGAGGCAGAGACACAGGCAGAGGGAGAAACAGGCTCCATGCACCAGGAGCCCGACGTGGGACTCGATCCCGGGTCTCCAGGATCGCGCCCTGGGCCAAAGGCAGGCGCCAAACCGCTGCGCCACCCAGGGATCCCCTCAGCACCTTTTCCTTTCTGCTCCCTGCTGCAGGGACCCCACTTCCCCGGGAAACAGCCCCTAGAACTGAGCCAATGTTCAGGATGACTTAGCATCAGAACCTCCATAGGCTTTGCCTGTGTGAGGGCACTGTCTCTTGAGGTGTGGTGATGGTGGTGGGAAGACCGGCCAATTTCATTCTCTAGGAGAAGCAGCACTAGTTGTGGGACCCAGGGTGGTGGTGCTTTTCCACCCTCACACTTAGTTTTCTCATCTGTAAAATGGGAGTCATTATTTGCACCTGGGCCTTTGGGGTGGCTGAGTCCCAACTCAGTGGGTCCCCTGGGGAGTACATGTCTATAAGAGGGCTCAGGAGGTGGGGCATCTGTTAAGTGTCTGCCTTTGGCTCAGGTCATGATCCCAGGGTCCTGGGATTGAGTCCTGAATCCGGGTCCTTGCTTCTCCCTCTCCCTCTGCCTGCAGCCCCCCCTGCTTGTGCTCTCTCTGTGTGTCAAATAAATAGATAAAATCTTAAAAAAAAAAAAAAAAAAAAAGAGGGCCCAGGAGGATAGAGTGTACATGCTGGGCCTGCCATGAGCCACACCCAATCTCCAGGCTCTCCTAGGGTACCCAAGTGGCCCCGCAAGAGAAACAGCTTTGGAAGTCCGGCTGTGGCGGGCCGCCCCCTGCTGGACATCGGAGGAAGTGTCTCTGGGACGGTCTTTCTCTGGTCCTCAGGGTTCAGCCCCACGGATTCTCCCTACATGGGGGCGGGAGGGACGACTAGGCGGCAAAGGAAAGCCCTGGGGCAGACAGGGAATGAGACCCCCGGGTCTGCAGGAAGGAAACTGGGCTCGGTGTTCAAACCTCAGCTCCATCACTGTGTGCCCCGGGACCAGTTACTAGTCCTCTCTGAACCTCAATTCCCTCATCATCAAAGTGCATGAACACTTGTATCTACCCTGGGCAGTTGTTGCGAGGATTAGCTGAGGTAATGTAGAGAAATGCCTGGTGCCTGACACACAGGAGGTGCTCAATAAACCTAAAAATGATTTCAAGGAGAAACCAATCCAAAGAGGCAGGTGGGTTATTATTTTCTCTTAACTTTTTTCAAGATGTATTGATTTATTTTAGAGAATGCAAGTGCGGGGAGGGGCAGAGGGAGAGAAGCAGATGCTCTGCTGAGCAGGGAGCCTGACCCAGGGTCTCATGATCTCACGACCCTGACATCAAGACCCATGAAATCATGACCTGAGCCAAAACCCAGAGTCAGACACTTGGTGATCAATCCACTCCGGCGTCCCCAAAGAGTGGTGGGTGTTTTAGACCATGAACTGCAGTGAAGTTTCAGAGTCTGGGTGGGGTCTCGGTCCCTCGTCTCCTCTCCTGGGGCAAGGGGACCTGGAACCCTCCGGGAAGTGTGGAGCAACAGCACCTGCCTGAGGTGACAGGCTTCACTCTCTGCATTGGGGGCTTTTGCACATGAGGTCTCCCTGAGCCCCAACCCTGTGGGCAGGCAGAAAGTGGGGGCTGGGTGGGCTGCAAGGGTCAACCACCCAGTACCCCCCAACACAAGGTCCTGCAGGTGCGGCTTTTCCTTTACTCAGTCCCTGTCTCTGTGCCAGACTGGAAGTTCAGGGAGGGTGGCAGTCAGGGAATGGCTCCCACTTACTAACTGGCTGACTTTGGTCAAGGCACTTCCCCTGCCTGAACCTCTGTTTCCTCACCTGTATAATAGGGATGAAAGTGGGCAGCCTGGGTGGCTCACCAGTTTAGCGCCGCCTTCAGCCCAGGGCGTGATCCTGGAGACCCGGGACTGACTCCCATGTCAGGTTCCCTGGATGGAGCCTGCTTCTCCCTCTGCCTGTGTCTCTGCCTCTCTCTCTCTCTCATAAATAAATAAATACAAATCTTTTAAAAAATAGGGATGAAAGTAGCACCAACCAGGACACCTGGTTGACTCCGTGAAGCATGACACTCTTGATCTCAGGGTTGCAAGTTCGAGCCTCTTGTTGGGTGTAGAGATTACTTAAAAAAATAAAATCTTCATTTTTAAAAAGATTTTTAAAATTTATTTATTTATTTATGATAGTCACACACAGAGAGAGAGAGGCAGAGACACAGGCAGAGGGAGACGCAGGCTCCATGCACCGGGAGCCCGACGTGGGATTCGATCCCAGGTCTCCAGGATCGTGCCCTGTGCCAAAGGTAGGTGCCAAACCGCTGTGCCACCCAGAGATCCCCATTTTTAAAAAGATTTTATTTATTGATCCATGAGACACACACACACACAGAGGCAGAGACAGAAGCAGGCTCCATGCAGGGAGCCCGACGTGGGACTTGATCCTGGGTCTCCAGGATCACACACTGGGTTGAAGACGGTGCTAAACCGCTGAGCCACCTGGGCTGCCCTAAAATCTTCAGTTTTAAAAAGACGTTATTTGTTCATGAGAAGCACAGAGAGGGAGAGGCAGAGACATGGGCAGAGGGAGAAGCAGGCTCCCTGTAGGGAACCCAGTGTGGGACTCGAACCCAGGACTCCAGGATCATGCCTGAGCCCAAGGGAGACACTCAACCATTGAGCCCCCCAGGTGCCCCCTGTCTCGCTCCTTCCTAAGCTCACAAAGTCCGCATCTTGTCCTCCAGGGTGGGGGGCATGCTGGCTACCAGGAGTGATTCCTCCAGCCAGTGGCCTAGGGAGCTGGGCCATGAGGCCACAGACTCAGGTTCAAGTTCCAGCTTGGACACAGAACAGCCCTGTAAATCTGGACAAATATCTTCCATTCTCTGAGCAAACAGGTCCCTTCTCAGGGTGCCTGGCACACAGTAGGCACTCGATACACAGGTGCACACTTGCTCTCTGGGCTCCAGTCACTTGTCCAATGAGAAGTGGGGAGCAGGTCTTAAGGGCATATTACTCTTCTGATAATCCCCACTCTCAGCCAGTTTTGGGGTCACCTCCTCTGGGAAGCCCTCTGCAGTGGGGGAGCCAACAGTGAGCTCCGCAGCCCCCCCCCCCCCCCGTGCCTCTCACTACAGAGGTACCATCTCCTGCACTGTAATGATCGCCAACCTCGCCACTAGGGCCGTCCTTTAAAAGCAAGGGCAGCAGCTTGTGTGCAGCACCCAGCAGGTGTGACTTAAGAACGGGGGATTCAGGCGTGTGATCCCAGTTACCAAAAGTCCCCATCAGGCAGTATTTTACTGAATGCACGCCCTCGTCTTCAGTGGAGTATATGTTATTTTTTTTTTCTAAAGATTTTATTTATTTATTCATGAGAGACACAGAGAGAGGCAGAGACACAGGCAGAGGGAGAAGCAGGCTCCACGCAGGGAGTGGGATGCAGGACTTGATCCCAGGACCCCAGGATCACGCCCTGAGCTAAAGGCAGATGCTCAACCGCAGAGCCACCTAGGAGTCCCGAGAATGTGTTATTATTACACCCCAATGCCACACCTGGGGAAACTGAGGCACAGACAGGGGAGATGACTTGTGTAGCAAGCACGTGTGTGGCAGGTATTACTTATACGAAGCGTTACGTAACTCACGGTTCCTCCTCCTCCTCCTCATGGTTCTCAAAGTATGGTCCGTGGACCAGCAGTATCAGCACACACACACGCACACACACACCCCCAGAACGAGTCAGAATTGCAGATTATGGGGCTCACTCCTGACCCGCTGAATCAGAAACTCTAGGGCGGGGCCAGGAGATCTGGGTTTCCGCAAGCCGTGCAGGGGATTCCGAAGAACGTCAAAGTTTGAAAACCACTTCCAGGGGATCCCTGGGTGGCTCGGTGGTTTGGCGCCTGCCTTTGGCCCAGGGCATGGTCCTGGGGTCCTGGGATCGAGCCCCACGTCGGGCTCCCTGCATGGAGCCTGCTTCTGCCTCCTCCTGTGTCTCTGCCTCTCTGTCTGTCTCATGAATAAATAAATAAAATCTTCAAAAAAAAAAAAAACCACTGCTTCGCAATCATAAAATCACTATAATCATCCCCATTTTACAAATGGGTAACTGCGGCAAAGCGAGGGCAATTGGTCCGGAACCACAGCCGTAACGTGCTGAGCTCCGGGACTCGCTTTCACGGCCGCTAGCCTAGGAATGGGCCGGGGTTAGGAATCATGGGGCTGGGGAGGCGGGCTCCGCGGCCCCTTTAAAAGGCGGAGCCTGAGGAGCGGAACTGCGCAGCGGGAGTGCGAGGCGCCCCCGGGAAGCTAAAAACCGCTACACCCGGAAGTGTCTTAGGCGTGCGGGAGCCGCGCCGCCGGAGGCCGCGCCGCTATGGGCCGCAACAAGAAAAAGAAGCGAGATGGCGACGACCGGCGGCCGCGGCTCGTCCTCAGCTTCGACGAAGAGAAGCGGCGGTGAGTGCGGAGGCTGGAGCGGATCTGCCTCGGGCTGCCGTCCGGGGCCGGGGCCAGAACCCGAACCCGGGCCGAGCGGCTGCGCTCACGCAGAGGTCCCTTCCGGTCCCGCCCTCTTTGCGCGGCCCGCGGCTCCCCCCGACGCCCCCCGCGGGATGGACGCGCCCGCAGTCCCCCCCGGCCTGGGGGGTGGAATCGCCCGCCCCGCCCCCCTTCCCCCGCTCAGCGCCCCGAGTTCCGCAGTGCGCGCGGCTGGGGGTGGGGGTAGGGGGCGGTGGCTAGGGGGCCCCCAGGCCTCTGCGTCAAGTCCGTCGGATGTTCCCCGCCCAGAGCGCCACTTTGCCGCGTGGTAGTGGGTCGGCGAAAAGCCTAGTGCTGCTCCCCGGACCCCCCAACATTTGGGAATGGTGCGGCCAGCTCCCGAGAGAAGGAGCCAAGATCACATAGAGGAGGGGAGGGCAGGTGCCGTCCAGGGGCCCTGCAGATGGGTCCAGGAGCAGGTGTCCTGGGGAAATGGGGTGCACTCCAGTGGAAAGTGTGCGGGTGTCTCCGTGAGGGTGGCCTGAAAAACCCTGCTGGAAGTGGCTTAATTCGCTGGGTCATGGGATTTGGCAATGTAGGAGGGGCCCCCACGTGTCCTAGGCTCGTAGGCCCACCTGCCTGGCCCTGTTGAAGCTGAGCCCTGGAGGGACGGGGTGGAAGGAGCATCTCGCTCTTCTTCCTGACCTTACACTCCCTATGACCTTTGGCAAATAGCCTAGCCTCTCTCTGCCTCAGTGTCCCTGTCTGTAAAATGGGCATTGGTACCGACCACACAAGCTGTTGTGAGGAATAGGTAAGTTAACACGTGTGCATTTTTAGAGTGGGTACAGTAGTGGTTTTTCTCTTCCTGGAGTGAACCTTTCTTTCCTGTGTGTCCTCCTGACTCTCCCTCGACTCTTTCTCGTAGGGAGTACCTGACTGGCTTCCATAAGCGCAAGGTGGAACGGAAGAAGGCAGCCATTGAGGAGATCAAGCATCGGCTCAAGTTGGAGCAGAAGAAGCTCCGGGAGGAAGTACAGAGGGGAAGGCTGGGGGGGAAGGGGCTAGGGAGAGAGAGAAAGTGTGCTTGTGCGTGTGTGTATCTATATCTATATATCTATATCTGATTCCCAAGGGATTCGCATCCTTGGGTGACCTTAACAGGGGCATCTGCAGAAATGAGGGGAGGTGTGGGCAGGCCCGGGGAGCAGTGTGTACAGTAGAATCATGGTGGGCTCGGGTCTGGGGAAGGTGTAGTATGGAATCTCCTGGTGTTTCACTATGAGCTCCTGCCTGGGATCGGCTGGAGAGGCCATCCTCAGTGTTCCCTTCCCTTTTGGTTTCAGCGCCATCAGGAATACTTAAAGATGCTGGCAGAGAGAGAGGAGGCTCTGGGTAAGTCACATCTTTGCCCTGAGCTGAAGAAAAGCCAGCAGACCTAGACTTACTTATCCCTTGGTGGATGGAAGGGGAGGGGTGTGGGGGCTGCACAGAAGCTAACTTCCTAGCTCCAGGGGTCTTGGTGGTGACGTGGGCCACTGGCCAGGGCTGGTGTTCAGGACCCTCTATAAATGTGGGTGGATCAGAGACAGGAAAGACCAACCTCTTGGTAAAGTGATCCTGAGCAGAAAGCCCAGTTTCTGAAGCCTGGAGGGACTGGGGGTAGAGGGGAATGGGTAGTAGCAGCTGCTGGGGTCACAGCGGGTCTGTCCTAAATGAGAACCAGATGGTCTGAGGTCTCCCCAGAGTATCGGAAGGAGTTGAATCACTTACATTTGTCTGCAGACCAGGCTCTGGAGCTGGTGACTTCCTGGACACTCTCCCAGAGTAGAGGGGGCCATTGCACTCCAGGGCTGGGCAGGGGGTTGGAGTCTGGTTACTTGCGCTCTGAGGCTGAGACCTGGTTCTGTGCCCACCTTGCATAGAGGAGGCAGATGAACTGGAGAGGCTGGTGACAGCAAAGACAGAGTCAGTGCAGTATGACCACCCCAATCACACAGTCACCGTGACCACCATCAGCGACCTGGACCTCTCAGGGGCCCGGCTGCTTGGACTGCCTCCACCTGAGGTGAGTGTAACTTCCAGCCCTAGGGAAGATGGGCCCCAGTGCAGCCCTAGGTGCAAACTGGCTTGTTGGGGATGCTGAGTGCTGGTCCCTGTTGGGCAGATTCCAGTGCGAGGGGCTCTTTCCCTCCTGGGCATTCTTCAGGGCCTGCACAAAATCCGTGGGGCTTGGAGAAGCTGGTTCTGTGACTCAGTGACTGTGGGAACATGGGCAAGTGTCTGCCTTGCCAACTTTCCTTTCGCCAGTAAGTTGAGGGAGAGTGAGGTAATTGATGATAGCACCTGTTTCTTGGGATTGCTGTGAGTATAAAAGCGGTTAATTCAAGAGACGCACCTCAGATACCAGTTTGTGGTGATCACAACACTGCGTGGTAACAGCAACAACACAGCCCATCCATGTGCACTGACCGTTTTCAAGCTGTGAGTGGGGAGGTACTCGCAGATTGTAACCAATATTTTAAAAAGATTAAAAAAAAAAAAAAAAGGATTCCCCTTTTAAAAGCACTCAGTGGGCCCTGACTCATGACCCACTGAGCCGTCAAGAAAGGGCAGAGGAAAAACACTGCTTTTGGGTGAAGCAGCAGCATGTTGTGTTGTTTTGCTTCAATCAGTGATATGACAGGGTGTTCCACCTTGGTGGGGTACGAGGGGGGAGAGAGGTTCGAGGTGACGGGGGCAATGTCATATGGACAGAGCTGCCTAATAAACTCTGAAAAATTAAATAAAAATATTAAAAACAAAAAGTAAGGAAAGAAATAGAATGTCTTTGAAAATATCAAAAAGGCTCACAGGTAAGTACCATTTGACAAAATGTTTCAAAGCTGTGTTTGGGTTGGATGCGCTTAAATACATAATTTAAATATGCCTGTACATAAACAGCGTCACAAGGTGAAGCACATTTCCTGTCATGGGTGAAAGCGTCTTTAAGCCCTGAGCCACTGCTTTATCATGTCCTTCCTGACCTCATACTCCTTTCTCTTTTGTGCTTATTCTTCTGTAAATCCTCCACGGCCTCAGCTTGCAGTGGACGTGCAGACACTCACAACTGAAAGAAGATGGGGACAAGGCTTTGAGACACAGCTTTTCCCTGTGTGATTCCCGCTTCGAAGTTGTGCCCAGCTTGTCCCCCAGTGGCCTTCTCCGAGCCCTGAGCCAATCCTCAAGGCAGCAGGCCACACCCCCACTTGACAGAGCCATGACTGCTGGTGTCAGGCCTCCCAATCTACCACACTGTGTGACAGTCCTTGTCCTGTGTTTCTTTAGCAAGGGGCTGGACACAGGTCCGAGGAAGAGGCGTCCTCCATGGAGAAGCTGACCAGAGCCTTACCCAGGAAGTCCAGAGATCCCCTCCTGTCCCAGCGGTGAGCCCTGGCCTGTCCCTCTCTCTGGCACTTCTCCCTCCCAGCTGACTGTGGTAATGAGCCCTGTGGAGCCACCTCTCACTGGCTGGTGGCATGGAGCAGGTGTTGGGCCTGGTGCAGTTACTCTGCCTACCAAGTGTCCCTCCTCACTGTCCTTACTCCCTTTCCCTGAGAATGGCCAGCCCTGGGTGCCCAGAGTGCCTGGGGTCAGGGCTTTTTTATGAGCTGAGGACTGGCAGGCCCTCTGGGGTCAGAGCAAGCTGTCTTTGGCATGGATTTGGTACTCCCTAGCATTCGAGGCCTGTCCTGACTTCCTCCGGGAGCCAGGCACTCACCCCCAAACCCAATCTTCCACTCATGTCCTGCTTTCCAGAGTAAATGAGGCCCCGGCCTGACCAGCCTTCCATCCCCCTACAGGATCTCTGCTCTCACAGCATCACTGCACGCACATAGTCGCAAGAAGACCAAGAGGAAACATCCCCGACGGGCCCAAGACTCCACCAAGAAGCCCCCGAGTGCCACTCGTACGAGCAAGACCCAGCGCCGCCGGCTGACAGGCAAAGCCCGGCACAGTGGAGAGTGAGCCCTGAGAACCAGCCATGCCCCAGCCTGGGCCCTAAGGTCCTGTCCTGTCTCAGCCGGGCTGTCCCCATAACCCAGTACCGAGGTGGTGACTCTATGGCCCAGGACTGGGATGCTAGCACCTCTCTGGTCCAGAGCTTGGGCCCTGGAAGGGGCAGACAGGTGAGAGCTGGCTCCCCCCAGGAGGAGCCTTTAGAGCCAAATCTGGGGCATCTACCTAAATGTCTGCCTCACCGAGCCATCATCAGATTTGTGAAACTGAGTGGTCTGTTTGTCCCTGACCCTGCTGCCATGTGCCAAGGGCAGGCTTCTGAGACAGTAGAAACTATTAGGGAAATGGGTCCATCCTCACTCTCCAGCAGTGGGTATGAAAGTATTAGGTCTGGGCCCCCTTTCCCAGGTTACAGATCAACATGACCTGTTGGGTACACTGGTAGGAACCAGAGTCCTCTCACTACTCGAGCAGGCTGGGATCCCTGGGTGGCGCAGCGGTTTAGTGCCTGCCTTTGGCCCAGGGCACGATCCTGGAGACGCGGAATCGAATCCCACGTCGGGCTCCCAGTGCATGGAGCCTGCTTCTCCCTCTGCCTATGTCTCTGCCCCTCCCTCCCTCTCTCTCTCTCTCTCTCTCTCTCTCTGACTATCATAAAAAAAAAAAAAAAAAAAGAGCAGGCTGCTGGGGCAGGTGGGTGAGCAGTGCCAGGCTCTGCTCTTTACTGGCTGAGACTTTGGGTCTGTCCCTTCTTGGCCTCATTGGTCTTCTCAGCTGAAATTGAAGTGGTGGAAGCAGATGAGTTCCAGAGCATTCCCCACCCCCCGAACTTGGGCCTCTTCCCTAGGTTTCTAGTAGCTCCTGGAAAGAGACCAAAAAAGGAGTGATCAACCCTTCTTAAAGAAAATGTAGGGGATCCCTGGGTGGCGCAGCGGTTTGGCGCCTGCCTTTGGCCCAGGGCGTGATCCTGGAGACCCTGGATCAAATCCCACATCGGGCTCCCGGTGCATGGAGCCTGCTTCTCCCTCTGCCTGTGTCTCTGCCTCTCTCTCTCTCTCTGTGTGACTATCATAAATAAATAAAAAATTAAAAAAAAATCTTAAAAAAAAAAAAAAAAAAAAAAGAATATCTTAAAAAAAAAAAAAAATAAAGAAAATGTAGGGGGATCCCTGGGTGGCTCAGTGGTTTAGTGCCACCTTCGGCCCAGGGCATGATCCTGGAGACCTGGGATCAAGTCCCGCGTTGGGCTCCCTGCATGGAGCCTGTTTCTCCCTCTGCCTGTGTCTCTGCCTCTTTCTCTGTCTCTCATGAATAAATACATAAAGTCTTAAAAAAAAAAAAAAAGAAAGAAAATGTATCTCAACTCACCTGAAGAGTATGACCCTTTCCAAGCAGACTCTGCAAGAGGCCAGGTGATGTTCTGCAAGGTTGCTGGTTTTTCATGCTCTTCAGATGTGGCTTCAGAAAACCAGTCTTTACCCTTCCTTGTCCCAGCTTGTGAGTGACCCACCTGACACGCCCCACTGTCACCTGAGCGAGCAGGGTAGAATCCTGAGTGCAGCAGGTAGATGCACCGGCGGGGACAGCCAGGGCACCTGTTAGGGGACATTGTCAGACACCACCAGCCCTTGCCACTTACTGCTTCCTGTGACTGAGTCAGAGCACAGGAATCCGGGCAGTGCCCTGGTTAGGAGACCATGTTGTGCCCTAACACTAGTACTGCAAGGGGAGTAGATGTGCCTTCAGCCCCAGCAGAACCCCAGCAGAGCTCAGGATCAGTGAGAGGTGGACAAGGTGACGGGGGAATGCAGTGACAGGAGCAGTGACGAGCACAGGTGCAAGTTCCAGCTGGCCCCGGGGTGTTGGAGGATCTGGCGGGAGGGAGCTGAAGTCCCAAGCAGGTCTTGCTTTGGCTCAGCCCACGGAGAGCTGCCATTGGGCAGGCTCAGGAACAGAGGCTCCGTTAAGCTGTGTCTGGGGGTGACTGGCGTGCCCCATATCACCATCGAGACCCACCATCTGGTGCCTCTCTGAAGGCCACCCCTGGACTTAGCCACTGGCAGCTCAGGGCATATGGCTGGGAAGGTGCTGTGACCTGGCTCTTTAGCTCCTTCCACTGCTCTTCCTGCTGCCTTCCTGTTATTGGGGTGTAGTGACTCGCTCTGCTGGGCTGCCCCTGTCCTGCACAGTGGGGGGGCCTGCCAGCAAGCTCCCCAGGTGGTTCTCATCCTCAACCTGGGGCAGTGAGTGTGAGCCTTGCCCTTCATGGCCCCAGGGAGCAGAACCCATCCTGGGCCCGAGGGGTTAGTGCATGCAGCAGGGTTTGAGTCCTGACTTGAGTCCCAACTCCACCACTTGGTGTCTGTGTGAGCGCTTTGCTGTGCTGACCTCTCTGGGTGTATCCCTGTGTGTAAGATGAGAAGACACCTATGTCCTAGGGGTGCCCCAAGGCTGAAATGAGCCCGTATGCGTGAACCACCTCCCACAGCACCTGACGTTCCCAGGGTGCACCTGCAGTGTATGCTCACGGCCACTGCTGTCCGCTGCAACATCTGACCCAGGTCTCTTCTCCCGCTCCCAGTGACACGGGGTCATTACCACTTCCATCTACAGTTTGTGACATTTACAAGTATTAAATTCTCCTCCACTCTCTTCTATATGTGCCATCTGCATCTTTGAGCAGGGAAACTGAGTGAGCGATTTTGCCAATCTTGAAATCAGAAGTGGTGGAATCAGAACCCTATAGAGAACTTGCCTTTTCTCCCCAGAACCTGGATCTTTTCCTCTTGACTCTCTCTGTCTTGTGGGCCTCCTTGGCTTGGGGCTTCTAGGGGCTTTATAAAGAAGGATTAGATTTAGCTGCATATAATGTACAACAGAATTTAGCAGTTTATATAAGAGGAGGTTAACAGGGAGGTAACTAGCCTGGAGCTGGGGGGCTGGGGTGACAGGCTTTGAGCTTTTTGTTTTGGGCCATTTTCAACACACAGCGTTCACCTCACGGTCCAAGATGGCCATTTGAGCTTCAGCCATCATGTGCCTTTCAGCTAGCAGGAAGGAGAAAGGATTGAAGAACTTGTTCCTCCTTTTTAGAACATTTGACAATTGTCATGTGCCATCATTTGGGCAGAAGGTGAAGACGGGCCGGACAGAGAAGCAGCTCCAGCTGCAGATAGGGCTATGATTGTGGCCCATTCTGGAGAACCCTGTGCCCATGTAAGAATTGAGGACTGTGTTGCTAACTGAAGGGAGAGTTAGTATTAGGGTACAAGCTACAGAGTCTCCCGCAGAAGCCAGATATATAAGGAAAAGGCTGCCAGGGGGGGTATCCAACTGTGTGGAACTACAGCCACAGCAGACTCTTTTTCTGTTCCTGGGTTACTGCACTGAACTTTCCTGATGGGTCAGGCCCTGTGCTAGCAGAAGGAACGAGGCCTCTCAACTCAGGAAAGACGGTAGGATGTGTTTGGGGGTTACTGAGCCCTCCCCAGGGGATGAGGGTAGGAGCTGAAGAGGAGATGTTTCTGTGCCAGGGAGGCTGAAGCTTTCATCCTCTCCAAGGTGCCCTGGACCTCAGAGGCTTGAAGCCCCCAGGTTTGAGCTGTGGTGTCAGTGGCTCTGGCAGGGAGTTCCCCAGTTTGTCCTGAGATAGAGACCTCACAGCCATTTCTGTTGTGGGTGGGCCCAGCATGACTAGAGTCCTCCAGGTTTCGAGCTGACATCTTCCAGATGTGGGAGGTGCTCTTTAGATGTTCACAGGCTGTTCATGGCCTTTGTTGCTCTGAGCAGTGTCCTCCAGCCCTGGGAATTGATCCTTCACCCTCCCCTCACATGGGCTCCAGTGACACTTTGTGTTTCCTTCTTATAAACACTGAACACATTGTAACCTGGTTCTGTCTGTCTCCACTAGCTGACCATGAGCCTTCTGAGTGAGAAGTTGTATCAGTAACTGCTGTGTTTCTGCTGTGGGCACAGTTCGCAGCCAGTCCTGGCTAGATTACACGGATTGGATTTACACCCAATCCCCCTCTCCACAGGTGTTCCCAGTGACCCTTGAAATCTGTTCTAGAATTTTCTTGGTAGCAGTGCCCTGTTTGTTTGTCTGCAAGTTTCTGAATCTGTTTTGTTTTCTCCTTCCCTTCACCACATCCATCGCTCCTGGGCCCCTGCTGAAATCTTTCCCCATCCAGTGAACTTTGCCCTCTCTCCCTTCCACCCTATTCAGCACGATTGCCAAATAACAACCAAAAGAAAAGAAAAAGGATAGGAAAATAATTTATTGAGCACTTCTCGTGTGTGAGTCACATTATTAACTCACAGCAGCATCGCAAAGTGGGTATTAGCTCCATTTGACAGGCGAATAGACTGAGTCACTGGTTACATAATTGTCAGAAGTTACCTGTCATGGCTAGTAGGACATGGTCCTTGCATTCCATGGAGGGGGCAGACACATGGAAGTCCCTTGGAAAGTCAGGGGTTCAACAAAATGTTAAGAGGGCAGACATCCTTACAGGCCCAGAGGGCAGAGAGGAGGGCATCCAAGAAGGCTTCTGAGAGGAGGTGATCCTTGATGTGAATCTTGAAAGATGACTTGGGTTGGCCAGGCATCTGGGGGAGAGGATGGGCAGGCAGACAGTGGGCCTGGGTGAGCAAAGGTGGGGAGTGGCCAGAGGGGACTACCGTGGCAGTTGTAGAGGCCCACGGGCACAGACCCTAAAGGGCCTCAAATACTGAGCTAAGGATCTGGACCCTTACCCTGTGGGCAGTGGGAGCCCCTGAGGTGGGGTTGGGAAGTTGCCAGGGGAAAGTTGGAGTCAGTGATTGTTTTTAGAGAGATCTCCCTGGTGGCAGCATAGAGGCTGCACTGAGAGTACTAGAGGCTCCAAGACCCTGTTGTAGTTACTCCGGGAGAGGCAAGGAGGCCCTCCTCCCATGCAGGCACCCATTCACTCTCTCACCAACCATTTATTGTGCACCTATGAAGTCCCAGTCACTGGGGATACGTTGGTGAGCAAGAGA